TKTRYGTKTGYGTGYGTGTGTGTGTTTCATCTTGAGGCAGGAGATGAGAAGCACCTGTAAATCTGTCAGCCTACCTGCCACGAGTCCAAACCGGTGGAATGAAAAGAAGAAGACAGAAGACTGGAAGAGAAAGGAAAAGAAAAAAAAAAGGCAGGCAGAGATCGTCAGATAAGAAAAGACAAGAAAATATGGAGGAAGAAGTGAAATTAAAACATGATGACTTCATTTGTGACAAAGAATCTAGAAAGAAACAAAAGTCTTTAGATTTGATTTTACTATAAAAGAATGTTTTCCATTAAAAGTTGTATTTCTCAGGTTCTTGTTAATAAATTTCAGCTTCTGTACTTTGTTGTATTTTAACCAGTCAACAAAACCATCGTTCTCTAAAATCTGCTTCAGCGCACTTCTCCCAGCTTTATTAGTTATTATTGTTTTGTTTCTTTTACAGTTGTAGGTAGCATGTGTCTGTTTGTGACTTTTTAGCCACATTTAACTTTTTTGCCTTTTGCTACTTTCAGCTTTTATCGACCGCTCTACTTCTTTTAGCTAGTTGCTTGATTCTTTTAACTTTTAGCTATTGTTCTGCATATAGCTAGCCTATTGATACTTTTAGCTAATGTTTAGCTATTTTTAACTTTTAGCTACCATTCTACTTCTTGCTAGCTGCTGGATTCTTTCGTTTTTACTTTTAGCTATTTTTCTGTATTTAGCTAGCCTTTTGATACTTTCAGCATTTAGTGACCATTCTGCCACTTTAAGCTAGCTGCTAATTCTTTTTTTAACTTTTAGCTATTCTGCATTTAGCTGGCCTTTTGATACATTTAGCTCTTAGCTAATGTTTTGCTATTTTTAGCTTTTAACTACCCTTCTACTTTTTGCTAGCTGCTGGATTCTTTTGTTTTTGCTTTTGGCTATTTTTCTACATTTAGCTAGCCTTTTGATGCTTTTAGTGACCGTTCTACTACTTTTAGCTAGCTGCTTAATTTTTCTTTTTACTTTTAGCTATTCTGCCTWTAGCTAGCCTTTCGATACTTGTAGCTTTTAGCTAGTGTTTTGCTAATTTTAGCTTTAAGCTATCATTCTACTTCTTCTAGCTAGCTGCTTGAATCCGTTTTAACTTTTAGCTATTCTGCATATAGCTAGCCTTTTGATACATTTCGCTTTTAGGTATTTTTAGCTTTTAGCTACCATTCTACTTCTTGCTAGCTGCTGGATTCTTTTGTTTTTACTTTTAGCTATTTTTCTGCATTTAGCTAGCCTTTTGATACTTTCAGCATTTAGCTGGAGTTTTCATTATTTTTAGCTTTTAACTAGCGTTTAGCTGCTTTAGACTTTTAGGTAGCAACTTTTAGTTACTGTTCTGCTACTTTTTGAATTCAGATAGCATTTTGTTTCTTTTCAATCTTAGCTCATATTTTCTAATCGTGTCTTTTAGCTGTGGACGTCTTTTTGCTTTTGTATTTTTGCCTTTTGTTGCACTCAGTTTTAGATTCTGTTTTACATTTAGATGGTCTTTTAATACTTTTAGGTTTTAGCTAGTGCTTTGTTCTTTTTGGCTCTTACCTAGCATTTAGCTGCTTTAGTCTTAGGTAGCATTTCAGTGCATTCGTCTTTTAGCTACAATTATCTTTTGCATTTGTGTTTTGGCCATTTACTTTCAACTTTCAGCCACTGGTTGCTACTTTCATCTAGTTGCTTCTTTTATTGTATTTTATTTTGGCTACTGTTCTGCAGTTCTTTACATTTAGTCATCTTTTTTTTTAGCTTTTACCTAGAATTTTGCTGCTTTTGTCTTTTAGGGAGCATTTTTCTACTTAGCATCATGTTTCTTTCAGCTTCTAGTGTTTTGTTCTTTATGACTTTTAGCTGGCGTTTTGTTTCTTTCAGCAGCTCAGTGTTAGTTTGTCAGCTTTAGGGCTGCCAGAAATGATTATTTTAATAATCGATTAATCACCGATTATTTTTTCAATTAGTCGACTAATCAGATCATACGTTAATTGAATATAAAACATACAGCTTATCACGTCAGAATGCAGCTGCTATTATATAACCAT